AAAAATGATACAACTACCATATGACACCAACATGGCATATAACTATACCAACATGGTAACAATTCTACTGGCTAATTCCCGGCAACTATAAATGACTATACTACTATTACATAACAGACATACATAAAGAGAAAAATCAAAAAGGTATGCAACTATAAAGTATTTTTAAGATATTGTACGATACTACTATTATTAAAAAAAAAAATAGTGTACCGATTAAATGCAACCAATACAGCCAAAAAAGGATCCAAAAGCATATGATATACCAATATAGTATATAGCTATACTAACTGGGTATATAGTTGTACGGGGTTGTTCCAACAACTTCCTATAACTATAAAAACTATTATACACATACTCTATGTCCATAGGCATAAAGGAATCTCAACAATGCAAAACATGATCATATAAATAATTTCAGAAATAAAATTCACTTAAAAATACAGCTAAAACAACCAAAAAAATGTTACAACTACCATATGATACCAATACGGCATATAATTATACCAACATGTTATACAATTCTACTGGTTAATTTCCGCCAACTATATATAACTATTCTACTATTACATAACACACATGAATAAAGAGGAAAATAAAAAAATAATATACCACATATTAATTTAATAAAATATTTTAAGATATTGTACAGTACTACTGTTATTAAAGAAAAATTAGATAGCGTGACAATTAAAGGAAGTTAATACAGCCAAAAGGTATGATACAGTCAGTTTGTGATATTGGATCTTTCGGAGCCCAGTCGGGTCCTTGCTTGTGTGATTTCTCGGTCTTCCTTGTTTGATCATATCCGGGAGCGTCAGTTTGATGACCCTCATTTGCTTGTCCTCAAGGACAAGGTCCTGCATGGCGATACCAAAGATGTGACTATTGGTGATGACGGGGTATTGAGGATGCAGGGTCGGGTTTGTGTACCCAATGTTGATGGGCTTCGGGAGTTGATTCAAGAGGAGGCCCATAGTTTGCGGTATTTCATTCATCCGGGTGCCGCGAAGATGTACCAGGATTTGAGAGACCGAGCAGGATATGCGCAGTCGTTACCCTCATCTTTTCACTACTTCAGGTATGTCATTATGCTCGTTCGAGGACGAACGAATGTTTTAAGAGGGGGAGGATATAACGATCCGGTCGGTTATTTTAAGAATTAACACCCCGATTCCCTATTAACTGCATTCCCCGTGTTTGTTTCTGCTATTGTGAGTTGCCGGAAGGATTTGTTTGGAGTTTCGGAGAGTTTTGGGACACTTAGTCCCTAAATGAGAGTTTAAGTTTTAGAATTTGGACCGTAGTCGGAGCAGTGTGAAGACGGTCTTGGAATGGAACTCTGTTGGTTCCGTTAACTCCGTTGGGTGATTTCGGGCTTAGGGGCATGTTCGGATTGTGTTTTGGAGGTTTGTAGCTTATTTAGGCTTGAAATGCCGAAAGTTGAAAACTTGAAGTTTCCGATTCAATAATGAGATTCCGATCTAGGTGTCGGAATATTCCGAGAGTTGGAGTAGCTTCGTAGTCTTGAATGTGACGTGTGTGCAAAATTTTAGGTCATTTGGACAAGGTTTGATAGACTTTTTGATCGAAAGCGGAATTTGGAAGTTTTGGGAATCCTTAGGCTTGGATCGGAGAGCGATTTGTGGTTTTAGCATTGTTTGATGTGATTCGAGGGTTGGAATAAGTTCGTTGGATGTTTTAAAATTGGTTGGCAGGTTTGGTTGAGGCTCCGGGGGTCTCGGGTGAGTTTCGGCCGCTTAACGGAAGTTGAACTGGACTTAGGAGAAATCTGAAGTTGGCTGAACCTGTCATAATCGCACCTGCATGTGTGGGACCGCAGGTGCGGCGTCGCAGAAGTGGCTTGGTGACCGCTGAAGCGGAATTTGGCCCAGGCTCCAGAAGCCGCAGGGGCGAGAAGTCGAACGCACCTGCGAGACTGCACGTGTGATAAGGGAGTCGCAGGTGCGGAAATTTCTATTTAATGAAAAGTCGCAGGTGCGGTCCCAGAGCTGCAGATGCGGTTCCACTGGTCAGTAAAAGGGCAGAAACGAGGGTTTAGTCTCAAACCTTAGAAATTGATTTGGGAGCTCGGAATTGGCGATTTTGGGATAGAATTTCACCTGGGTGTTTTGGGTAAGTAATTCTTACTTGGTTTTGATTAATTTTCACGAATCTATGCTTAAGTTCATCCTTTAAATTCGAATTTGGGGTGAAAATTTGGAGAAAAATTGGAAAAGTTCTTAAGCCTTTGGAGTTTTGATCAAGATTTTGATGTCGAATTGGAGTAATTTCTGTATATATGAACTCGTGAGAGAGTGAGGATTCCGAATTGTAAATTTTATCCGATTCCGAGATGTGGGCCCCGGGGGTCTTTTTAGGCGATTTTCCTAATTTCGCGTATTAGCTTCAAATTAATTAGTTGAATTAGTTACTTGAAGTTATATTTACATTATGCAATTACTTTGAATAGATTTGGGCCATTTAGAGTAGGATACTCGTGGCAAGAACGTGGTATTGAGTTAATTGAGCTGGTTCGAGGTACGTGGCTTGCCTAACCTTGTGTGGGGGAACTCCCCTTAGGATTGGTATTGTTGATATATGAAATGCCTTGTACGTGAGGTGACGAGTGCGTACATGTGCTAATTGTCGAAAATCCTGTTTTCATTAAGTAACTATAACTGTGTTTTCTTCCCTGTTTATACTACTTGCAATTTAAGCCTACTGTTAGCTTAGGGAAGCATGTCTAATTGACTTGATTGCTTTACTTGCTCAAACTGCTTTATTTAAATTCTGTGCAACATGCTAGGTTAGAAATACCTATTTTACCTTGGTATGGAATTTGGATTTAATTGAGTATTCTTCGTGTTGCTGTTGTGTGTTTACTTTGGGACTACGGAACGATATCCCGGAAGATCCCCCTACATGTTTACTTTGGGACAACGAATTTGTATTCCAGTAGGCCCCCCTGCACATTTATATTGGAACTACGAGACTGCACCCGATAGATTCCCCCAGTACTGGTATTTACATTTGGGACTACGGATCGGGATTCCGGTAGATCCCCGCCACTATGAGTTGGACTATGGGACGACACCTGGGAGATCCACTGGATATTTACATTTGGGGACTACAGGACGGTATCCTGGGAAATCCCCGGTTGTTATCTCTATGTTGAACTGTATTCCTTCTGTGAGTATTTTATCTCTGTTGTAGTTGTTGTTACTCTTATTACCCCGTGTTACTTTAATATTGCTTCTCTTTCTTATATATCATTACATATGACCGGTAGGGCCCTGACCTTCCTCGTCACTACTCGACCGAGTTTAGGCTTACTCATGCCCTTTCATGCACATGTTTTTCGTGTGCAGATCCAGGAACTTCGACTCAGCCCTACTACCCTTGAGGCGAGGCGATTCTCCAGAGACTTCGAGGTATATCTGCCATGTCCGCAGACCGAGGAGTCCCTTTCCATTCTCTCTTGAAGTGATAGCCCTTCTATCTTTTCTTTTGATTTAGACATTCCGGAGTTAGCGCATTTTGTCGTATTCGTAGCTTGTGATTGAGATTCTGGGTTTTGGGAGTTGTTCGGTTTTGAGATCTTGTATTGTATATGCCGAGCGGCATCTTAAACACTTTTATATCTGTTATCTTCGGTTTTTATTAGTTTATCCGCAGTTTTTCTAGTTTTTATCTGTTGTTTTCTTTTCTTTTTTCCCGCTAATTGTTAGACTTACCTAGTCGTAGGGAGTAGGTGCCGTCACGATAGTTCACGGAGGGCGAACTGGGGCCATGACAATTATATAGCTATACCAACCGGGTATACAATTGTATGGGATCGTTCCCAGTTCCCACAACTGAGTATAACTATAATATAATATAAATATATACTAGGAAATCAAAAAATAACAATGTGCTATATATTCAAAAGCACGTATCCTAGTTTTAAGAAAATTACCTTCTTGGATGCGACACCAATCTTTTTCTTCTTTACTTAAGAACCATCACTACAATCAACATTGATTGGTTGAGTCTCTGTTTCAGGCACGGATTCACGTTAGCTTTCCCTCAGAATCCTCAACAACTTTAGCTTTTCCCTTATCATTCAGCGCATTACCTGCTATGACTAGTTCATAATTTGTTTCGGGTAATTACTGGTAGGGAGTTCCATCGACTGAAGAAGCATCAATATTGTTGCCTTGCCCCCTCTAATTCTATATTTTTAATTGTGTTTTCAACACGCATACTGCTGGGTTAGGACTAAACACCGCCGGAGAATCAGAAAATAATAAAAAACTAGAACTGGACATGACTGAGGCAATAGATTTAGCAGCTACTTGGGTTGAAGAATGATGTTGTGCACGGCGCCACCATCTATGCGAACAATGCTTCCGACCCATAGTGAAAACAACAACTCACAGACATTGATTCACAAAAGTACAAAGAAAAACACAAACATTCTATGATTTTGAAAACCCACTTAACTAAAATGTACTTTCACATCCAAAAATTTCGCCCAAAAATTACTATTAGACGAAGAGATGGAACGAAATCTGAAGATAAATTCAAAAATAGAATCAGTAAATGTTGGTTGAAGTATGAGTTCTCATGGTTTGGCTATAGAGTTTTTGAAACTAAGTCTGTAGCGTTAAAGGACGAAGACTATTAAATGAGGCATTAATGACGGTGGGTATGGGAATCCGCTAATTGCGTGGGCTGCTAGGTGAAATAGCTTGGGCTGGGTATGGGAATCCGCTAATGGGTGGGCCGCATAAATAGTCTGGCTGCATGGATAGAAAAAGCAAATAGTTTGGACTTGGGTATTAAAGGGTAAATAGTTTTGGGCTTAATAGGTTTAAAGCGGGATTTTCTGTTCACGAAAATCACCCTCCTTGTGGCCCAAATGTGAAATCCATTAAAAGCCTTTTACACTGTTCGGGTAGGCCCATATTTTAACGACACTTATACAGAAGCTGAAGGTTGTTTTTGTCTTTTCAAATCTTTACCAATCTATAAGCTCTATAGTCATCGTCTTCCTCCTCGCTCTTCGCCCTAATCTGCAATTTGGGGAATAAGCTTTCAAAACCATGTCTTCCTCCAAACGAAATCACAAGGAAAAGATAATTCGTCACAAGAAGTTCGTTTTCCATTCTCTGATATCCATTTTTTTAATTTAACTTTTCTTCATTTCTTCTATTATTATGGCGTTGTGTGAGTTTTTGTAAAAATCTCAATTGAATTTGGAACTGTGGAATTTGAATAGCTCCATAATTTGGTAACTATTGCTGAAAAGTGAGAATTTTTATTACAGAGAAGAGAAGGCGGAAGAACCGGAACTACCAAAGTACAGAGACAGAGCTAAAGAAAGGAGAGAAGATCAAAATCCGGATTATGAACTCACTGAATTGGGCGCTTTTCATGCTGTCGCTCCTCCTGGCAATGTTGATCTTCTGTAATATCTCTCAGCTCCCTTTTTTCTTTTTTGTATATTCCTTTTTTTCCCAGCTCTTTATTGGAGAGCTAGCTATATAGGGGCCTTGCCCTGCACACGAAGTGCTTCGGTGCTAGTGCAGGGTATGGGGAAGAATTTACCCGCACGGGGTGTTTACACCAAAGCATACTAATTTAGTATGGTTAAGTAATAAATTAAGGCGAAAATGTGTATTATTAGAGTGTATATGAAGACACGTATCATGTATTCATTGGATTGGTGCAAACACCAGGTGCAAGGAAGTTTTTACCGTGGAAATGGTTCGCAACCTTGCATCGGCTTTCTGCAAAGAGGGTGTTTCCGTGCCTTGAACTTATGACCTAGGTCACCAAAGTAGCAACTTCTAGTTTTTGCCTTAGAGAGCTGTCTATATAGTTGACAGTAAAAGAGTATTTTTTTAAGAACATTTCATGTTTTAAAACTTGTTGGCAGGTCTGCTGATGCTCAAAAATTATCTATTGAGAAGAGCAAGTATCTTGGAGGTTAGTCTGCTCTGCTAAACTGCTGTTTCTACACGATACATAAGAGTAATTCTGATTTCCAGCTTGCTTTTGGAATTAATAGAAAAGATACTGGAACAGCTAACTTAAAGAAGAGAGCTTCCTGGCGTTGTTGTGGAACAGAATATTTTTTAATTGTATGCCCAAATGAGTTAGCTTAGTTTCAGCTCAGTTTCAGCGGTTTTCTTGATATATGTTCTAATTGATTTAGTTGTTTTGTTCAGCTGACCAACCGTTTTTTGGCTTATTGTGTATCAGGTGATGTGGAACACACACATTTGGTTAAAGGGTTAGATTATGCTTTACTTCACAAAGTGAGAAGTGAAATAGATAAGAAGCCAGATGCTGGAGATGATTATGAAGGAAAACCTAGGTAACTACTGATTGCTTTGTCACTTAACTGGATGCATGATTCCTCAACTTTAAAATTAAAGCATAAGAAACTGACAGTCTAAGGGCCTGTCAATTTTTCTGGAATGGTCGATGCAATTTTGAGCTAATAAAGTTGATCCATGTGTAGTTTCCATGCGTAAGACAATAGTTTCAGATACGAGGTTTTTCTATAGATGTTCCTATAGTTGTCCCATGCATTACCCTTGATTTATGACCACTATCATGAGATGCGTGTGTGACTTGGTAACATCTTTTTGTGTATTTACGAACTAACAAGCCTTTTTGGTGAATTATTCTTTTATACCATGTCTAAGAAGCAATCGGTCCGGATAACTGTTCTGTTTAATTATTCCATTCCATCTCTTTTGCTAACAGAGCATCAAAGGAAGATCAGCAAATGTCATTCCGTACTGCAACTGCCAAGGTGCATTAGCTCTTTAATTGCTTCGGAGTCTCGAATATCTATAGTTGTTGCTAGGTGTTATTATGTTTCAATAGAGTGATTCGTAAGCTTTGGGTTGCAGTCAGTATACCAATGGATGATCAAGCCTCAGACTGTTATAAAGACCAATGAAATGTTTCTTCCTGGACGGATGTCTTTTATTTTTAATATGGTATGTTTCTTTTCTTTTTTGTTTACTTCATCTCCTCTTATTTTAGTCATTCCAGGATTCTATTTGCCCGAGAAGGAATCTATTTCGCAGACCAGTGATTGAGTTTTCTTATAGTGCATGTGCCCTAAGATCTTTTTCATATGGCAGTTGGACGTGATAATAGTAAAAGAAATTTTGTGCTTGTGGTAGCTAGCTGAGAAGCTTGCTAAGTTCTATATTGAATCATAGTTATTGTTTTGCAAAAGGATGCAATCATTTTATTCATAAAGCTCCTCTCTTACCCCACCCCGCTTTCCCAGGTAAAAGAAGGAAAAATTCTGTAGGGAAATTAGAGTTTATTTCGTATGGCTGGGATGAACTGTCTTGTCCTTGTCAAGTAGCTAAAGGCCTTTCTGTTTCTGGTGGGGGAGTGGGCGTGGGAAGGGGTGTTCTTGGGAGTTAAATGCTAGAGTCATTGAAGCAGTATTTTAATGCTAAGACACATGGTGAACAGATGTGTAATCTGCATAGTGAAAAAGTTAGTGAACTATTCTGTTATTCTAATGCTTGAATTTACTGTGACTACTATCTTTTCTTTCGTTGTCTCTTTTACTTTTCATGCTTATGGTTTATGTGTGTCTGGCAGGAAGGTGGATACAACACTGATATTCCAACCACTTTACACAGGAGCAAAGCTGACTGTCCAGTCCCTGAGGTGTTTCTTTTTTCCCATATTCCGCTGCTGTCAGGCAATGACTTACTTTTCCATCCAAATGGGTTACCTCACCTCTTTTTTGCAGGAAATGGTTACAGTTAGTGTTGATGGTTCTGTTCTAGACCGAATAGCTAAAATCATGTCCTATCTCCGTCTTGGATCATCAGGAAAAGTTCTCAAGAAGAAGAAGAAGGAAAAAGATGGCAAAGGTGCATAGCTTTCATGCCTCTTAACCTTTACTTGTATTTTCTGAACAGTTGCTTATAGTCTGAATGTGATGTAGATTTGCATATATCCAATTTATTTTACGAAAACCTTTTCTCTTATTTCTGATTGGTGCCGCTGCATGCTTTTTGTATATCTATTATATTCTTGCTCATAGAAGTGAATTTGGGCATGGTTTCCTATACAACAACAACAAACCCAGTATATTCCCACAAGTGGGGTCTGGGGAAGGTAGTGCGTACGCAAACCTTACCCCAACGTAGTGAAGGTAGAGAGGTTGTTTCCAGTAGATCCTCGGCTTAGAAAGAGTGAGAAGAAGAAGAAAGAGAAAAGGAAAAAAAAGGGGGGGGGGGAGGGGAATTAGTAGTACTAAACACTAACAACAAGAAATACGATAACAGACGCGAACTAAATCACATGACGAAGTAATGATCTACTTAAGCATATGTAGGAACCTGAGTGCTACTAAAGTAACTGGTAAGAAAAGGAGAAACTTACAACTACCTACTACCCTTCTACCCTAATCCTCGACCTCCATACCTTCCTATCAAGGGTCATGTCCTCAGTAAGCTGAAGTTGCGCCATGTCATGTCTAATTACTTCTCTCCAATACTTCCTTAACCTACCTTGACCTCTTCTCAAACCCGCCATAGTTAGCCTCTCACATCTCCTGACAGGAGCATCAATGCTTCTCCTCTTTATGTGCCCGAACCATCGCAGCCTCGACTTCCGCATCTTGTCCTCCACGGAGGCCACTCCCACTTTGTCCCGAATAGCTTCATTCTTATTCTTATCTCTATCTAGGCATGCCACTCATCCATCTCAACATTCTCATTTTTGCTACTTTCATCTTCTGCACATGTGAGTTCTTAGTTGGCCAACACTCCACCCCATACAACATAGTTGGTCGGACCACCACTTTGTAAAATTTACCTTTAAGTCTTGGCGTCACATTCTTATCACATAAGACGCCGGACGCAAGCCTCCATATCATCCATCCCGCTCCAATACGATGTAGGACATCCTCGTCAATCTCCCCATTACCTTGGATAATGGACCCGAGATACTTGAAACTACTTTTCTGGGGATAACTTGAATATCAAGCTTCACATCCACGTGTGATCATGAGCCCTGTCAGTGAATTTGCACTCTAAGCTAGCGTTTGGCCATAGATCCCAAATTTATTTTGAAAAATCTGATTTGGGTGAAGTTTGGTTTGAAGATGAAAATGTGTTTGGACATGCGTTTTCAAAACATATTTCCCAACTTTATTTTGGCAAAACATGTATATAATTTCCAAGTTTTGGGGTTTTGGCCTAAAATCAGCAATTGGGGTGATTTTGGGATTTGGGATTTTGCCAAAATGTGGGCAAAATTTATGGCCAAACATGAGTTTTGAAAATAATTCCCAAATTTATTTTGGCAAAACTCATGGCCAAACGGAGCCTAAGTATTCTGTCTTAGTCCTGTCCAACTTGAAACCTTTAGACTCCAAGGCCTACCTCCAAACCTCCAACCTTGCGTTGACTCAGCTTCGCGTCTCGTTGATTAACACTATATCATCGGCAAATAGCATGTACCATGGTCCGTTCGAGGATATATGTGATACAAAAATAAATTGCAACCACAATATAAATATGAAGAAACATAATTTTATTGATAAAATAATGTGGGTACAATTCTGTTTATCCCCTTGATTCTTCTCTCCTAATTATCTCCGTGATTCGAGGGCTAGAACAGCGTGTTTCTCGAACGTAGGATGGTGCGGGCTTTCATGGATTTATTTGATATCCATGAAGTATGTTGTGGATCTTCTTGAAGAATTTGATTATCAAGAATTATCCGGCCACTTCTTGATCTCTTTGTGAATATCCCCTGAGTTTATAGGATTTTCGAGATGATCTCCATTTTTGAGATGTTTTTTAAAGGATTATGAAACCCTTTTTATAGGAGTGACTTAGGGTTTTGGTAGAGTAGCCTCCAAGCAACACTGACAGACTCCTAGAGTTTCAAGAGGTCTTGTAGTATCTTGAATTTAGGATTTAGCTTGATCCATTAAAATTTCGATGTCTACAAATGCCCCCTACTTCAAGGTTTGTCGGGGTGTAGGCTTGGCGAAACTTGAAGTACCCGATCACAACGGAAATTTTTGAAGTAGTTTCGATTTGCAGGAGGAAGAGATGAAGGGCAGAACTGGTCCCACTGAGCGTGCCAATTTGTTTGCAACAAATTATATGTGATACAAAAATAAATTGCAACCACAATATAAATATGAAGAAACGCAATTTTATTGATAAAATGATGCAGGTACAATTCTGTTTATCCCCTTGATTCTTCTCTCCTAATTATCTCCGTGATTCGAGGGCTAGAACAGCGTGTTTCTCGAACGTAGGATGGTGCGGGCTTTCATGGATTTATTTGATATCCATGAAGTATGTTGTGGATCTTCTTGAAGAATTTGATTATCAAGAATTATCCGGCCACTTCTTGATCTCTTTGTGAATATCCCCTGAGTTTATGGGATTTTCGAGATGATCTCCATTTTTTAGATGTTTTTTAAAGGATTATGAAACCCTTTTTATAGGAGTGACCTAGGGTTTTGGTAGAGTAGCCTCCAACAACACTGACAGACTCCTAGAGTTTCAAGAGGTCTTGTAGTATCTTGAATTTAGGATTTAGCTTGATCCATTAAAATTTCGATGTCTACACTTCCCTCGGCACTTTATCATACGCTTTTTCTAGGTCGATAAACACCATGTGCAAGTCCTATAAAGAAGTAGAATGTTTGTAGGCGGGATAGAATGTGAGCTTTATTCATCTTTGATTAGGGGGGCATAGGGTGAAAATTAGTGGAATGTCATATGGGGCACAAAGGTAGTTGATGACTAGATACTCTCCCCGTTCCAGTTTATATGAACCTATTTCCTTTTGGGTCCGTTCCAAAAAGAATGACCCCTTTCTAAATTTGAAAACAATTTAGCTTAAACTTCCAATTCTACCCTTAATGAGAAGCTTTTATAACCACACAAATACTCTAGACCCCTTTTTGACTTGTTTAGGGTCACAAATTTCAAAAGTCCTCATTTTTTTTAAACTCTGTGCATAGTCAAACAGGTTCACATAAATTGGAATGGAGGGAGTATGTAGGTATATTATTCCGTAGTGCCATGGAGACTAAACAAAAGCATTTGGTTCTCTGGAGTCTATTATGTGTTTCTCAGAAGTGAATTTGGGCTTTTGGGGTCTCCTATTCATTGGGCAGGGCTTTGTACTTTTGGCTTTTGGGGGGTTTTTGTGATCTCTTCTCTTCATTGATGAAGGGATGTGCTTCCGGTTCCCTTGGTCTGACAATAGTTTTTAATATTGTGCAGGGAAGACTGTTATATCCAATGGTTACGACGAAGTATCGAAGTCTGATGCATCAAAGAGCCAAAATGATACAGAAACTGTGCCTCAATCTGCACCGCTTCCTAAAAAGAACCATTTAGAAAGAAAAGAGAATCAGGGACCTGCTGTAGCTAGAGTTGAAGAAGAAGATATCTTCGTAGGGGAAGGTGTTGACTACTCTATTCCTGCTGGAGATATGGGTCAAAGCCCTGTATCAGAGGATATGGAAGAATCTCCTCGAAACAAAGAGAGGACCTCATATTTCAGTGAACCTGCCTATGGCCCAATCCCGCCATCTGAGCCTTCTCATGATTGGCAACAGGCGGTGAGTCAGTTTTGTCTTAAAGACATGATTAGACCTTTCCTGTTAAAAAGGCTTCGTAATATTTGCTAACAAAATTTGCTTGCTTCAATCTTTGCCCTACATTTCTCTGAAAAGATGAAGTTGGATGCCCTCATCATATTTGTCCAGCATCGACTTTCCTGTATTTACTACCTTAATTGGATGGCCCTATGTGTTGCAACTGATATTCATCTTTTGATTGTTGAATCTGTTTGCTCTGTGCAGAATGGATATGATGCAATGCAAGCACAAGCGCTAGCTGGTGTTTACCAACCAGAATGGCAAGATTATCAGTATTCTGAGCAGCTTGCTTACCCCGAGCAATATCTCCAGCAGAATTATGATATGCAAGCTGATGCTGGCGTTCTACAGGATCCACGATTTATGAGTCAAGAAGAAAAGGATAGAGGGCTAGGTTCAGTATTCAAGAGGGATGATCAAAGGCTTCAACAGCTGAGAGAGAGAGATGCCAGAGAGAAGGATCCTAATTTCATTTCTGAAAGCTATTCTGAGTGCTATCCTGGTTACCAAGAGTACAATCGTGAGATTGTTGACAGTGATGATGAAGCTGATTTGTCAAAAATGGACATGGGTGGACGTGTAAGTGATGTTCTATTCTTGCTGAAGATCAAGTCCATTAATTTTGCACGTCATTCCTTGTTTTACCCCTTCCGCCACCTTTTGAACCTACATTATGTGTGAAAAATTTTGATCAGTGTAAAGGGAAAGAATTTATTGCCTCACAAGCCTGAAAATTGTTGGCGCTTTTTAGTTGTATCTGCTTGATCAATAATAATATTTGTCATAGAAATCAACTGCAACTTAACGTGGTGGTGTCAGTCAGAAACCTCTGTTGTGATAGATAGTATTTGATAAAAGATTAATCTTTCTACAGGCAAAGGGTCGGCTTCACCGATGGGACTTTGAGACAGAGGAGGAGTGGGCAACGTACAATGAGCAGAAGGAAGCAATGCCAAAAGCTGCATTCCAGTTTGGAGTAAAAATGCAGGATGGTAGGAAGACCAGGAAACAAAACAAAGAGCAGAAACTTACCAATGAGCTGCATAAGATAAACAAAATACTCACCAGAAAGAAGACGGAGAAGGAGAAAGGCGAAATGCTCGAGGACGGTGAAATACAACCTGGAAAGAAGCTGCGTGTATAAACAGAGGAAACGTATGATTTTTTCTGTCTTTGACTTTTAGATCTTCTTCCTTACTTGGTGTTCAGAATTTCTCGAATTAGTGTTCAGAATATCTCGAATTTGAAACGATCTCTCGCCCTCAGATAAAAGCTGGTCTTAGTTTCATGATGACCTTAATGTACCTGTGATACAATGATACCTGTAATCCTAAGCTTCTTTTTATTTTAATTATTTAGTATTCGATATCCGCTGCCCCCCGGCCAATCCGCTTTGCGTGGGGAAGCTCTCCCTACCATCAATTTCTCCATTCCGAGGGCTTGAACCCGAGTAACCCTAAGCTTTGAAGTAGCAATAAGCCAATAACTCAAATCTTTCAGCAAAGACGGAAATAATTAGTTTTTAAAGTTCACCATTCCTTTCTTGGGAATACAATATGAGATGAATTTTTTCCGAGAAATGTATTTTATTTGAAGAATTAGTTTTAAAGTAGAGTGAAGAAAGTAAGGATGGGGAAGAGATTTGGTTCTCTTGGATTGTCTTTTTGTGAAATCATATTCTCCTTGATGGTCTCGAAAAGGCACATTATTTCTTCGAAGTTAAGAACGAATTGTTACAGTTAATTTTTGGAAGCTGTAACGTACTGTCTCATTTTAGATTTATGCACTCTTAATTTATGATGCAAAAGGATTTATCATTTTCCTAAAATGCCTTTGGTTTTGTTTTGATATTTTTAGTCTCTATTTCGTGTTTGCAATAATAAAAACCTTGGCATCGTGAGGAGGTTAAAGCAAAACATTTTACTATATATGTTATAAAATAATAAAAGAAGAAGAGTATTTGTGACGACCCGACCCGTCGTCTCATGCGTTATTGCTCCGTTTTCCCCCTTTCATGCTTCTTCATGTTTCGTTATCGGTATGTGGTGTGTTAGAGTTGTTTTGGATTGGTTTTGATAAGAAATGAGACACTTAGTCTCTTTAAGGAAAGCTTAAGTTGGAAAAGTCAACCGAATGTTGACTATTGAGTTAGAAGGCTCGGATGTGATTTCCGGTGATTCGGTTAGCTTCGGGGGATGATTTGTGACTTGGGAGTGCGATCGGAATTGATTTTGGAGGCCCGGTGTAGAATTAGGCTTGAATTGGCGAGGTTAGTATTTTGGCGAATTTCGGTGGATGGGTGAGAATTTGATCCGGGGGTCGGAATGGAATTCCGAGAGTTGCTGTAGCTTCGTTAAGTGATTTTGGATATGTGTGCAAATTTTCAGGTCATTCGGACATCGTTTGGTCGGGTTTTTGATCGAAAGTGCATTTCGGAAGTTCTTAAAGAACTTAGGCTTGAATCCGATGTGAATTGATGATTTTAGTGTTGTTAGGTGTGTTTTGATGATTGGAGCAAGTTCGTATGATGTATTGGGATATGTTGGTGCCTTTGGCTGAGGTCCCGGGGGCCTCGGGGTGATTTCGGATGGCTAGCGGGATGAAATTTGGACTTGGAGACTTCAAATGTTGCTGATATCTGGTATTCTCGCTTCTGCGAGTCTTGGACCGCAGAAGCGGACCCGCTTAAGCATGGGTGACCGCAGAAGCGGTGAAGAGGCCTGGGCGCCTGGTTCCGCAGAAGCGTTGGCGTAGCCGCAAAAGCGGAATCGCTTATGCGATGTTGTGACCGCAGAAGCGGTTTGGTTCGAGAGTGGGATTTCCGCAGAAGCGGAAGGAATAGCGCGGAAGCGGTCCCGCAAAAGCGGGATGGGGACAGCATAAGCGAAAGTGCTGGGCTGATTATTAAATATTTCCCTCCGCGAGCTAGGTATTATTTTCCCCCATTTTTGAGCGAGCTTTGAGAGCTTTGAGGCGATTTTGAAGAGGGATTCAAGGAGGAATGATTAGAGGTAAGTTCCTTGGCCTAAATACTCGAGATTTTATTTTAAATTAACATGGAAATTGGTTGGAATTCATTAAAAAGGGGTAAAGCTAGGAATTTAGTTTTTGATATTTCAAATTGGGGAAAGGGGGAGACCAATCATTAGGATTAGATCTTCCCGTTTCCTCTCATGCATTAATCACTGTAGTTTGCTAGAACTTGGCTTTAATGGTGCCAAATACACCTGGTCCAGTCATTGTCGCAGTCGCAATGAACTTATACTTGAAAGATTAGACAGGTGCTTTGTTAATGAAAGTTGGTTAGAATATTATCCTAATGCTAGCGTTACTCATTGTCACGACCCGGAATTCCCACCATCGGGACCGTGATGGCGCCTCAAATTTCACTTGCTAGGCAAGCCAACGTTAGAACATATTATCCATTTTNTTTGATCCGGGGGTCGGAATGGAATTCCGAGAGTTGCTGTAGCTTCGTTAAGTGATTTTGGATATGTGTGCAAATTTTCAGGTCATTCGGACATCGTTTGGTCGGGTTTTTGATCGAAAGTGCATTTCGGAAGTTCTTAAAGAACTTAGGCTTGAATCCGATGTGAATTGATGATTTTAGTGTTGTTAGGTGTGTTTTGATGATTGGAGCAAGTTCGTATGATGTATTGGGATATGTTGGTGCCTTTGGCTGAGGTCCCGGGGGCCTCGGGGTGATTTCGGACGGCTAGCGGGATGAAATTTGGACTTGGAGACTTCAAATGTTGCTGATATCTGGTATTCTCGCTTCTGCGAGTCTTGGACCGCAGAAGCGGACCCGCTTAAGCGAAGGGTTGACCGCAGAAGCGGTGAAGAGGCCTGGGCGCCTAGTTCCGCAGAAGCGTTGGCGTAGCCGCAAAAGCGGAATCGCTTATGCGATGTTGTGACCGCAGAAGCGGTTTGGTTCGAGAGTGGGATTTCCGCAGAAGCGGAAGGAATAGCGCGGAAGCGGTCCCGCAAAAGCGGGATGGGGACAGCATAAGCGAAAGTGCTGGGCTGATTATTAAATATTTCCCTCCGCGAGCTAGGTATTATTTTCCCCCATTTTTGAGCGAGCTTTGAGAGCTTTGAGGCGATTTTGAAGAGGGATTCAAGGAGGAATGATTAGAGGTAAGTTCCTTGGCCTAAATACTCGAGATTTTATTTTAAATTAACATGGAAATTGGTTGGAATTCATTAAAAAGGGGTAAAGCTAGGAATTTAGTTTTTGATATTTCAAATTGGGATTTGATAGGTCATTTGAGCTCGGATTTGGGAGTTCTTGGTATGTATGGACTCGTGGCGAGACGAGGAATACGGTAATGTGAATTTTGTAATTTTTCGAGAAGCGGGACCGGGGCTCGGGTTTTGCTAGTTTCGAGATTTCTGCTATTTCTTGGCTGTTTTCGATTGGGTATTGTTCCCTTGGCATATTGTAATGTATTCGCTCTGATTTTGGTTAGATTCGATGCGCGTGGAGGCCGATTCGAGGGGCAAAGGCGTCGCGAGCTAGAGATTTCGCCGGTTCGAGGTGAGTAATACTTGTAAATGATATCCTGAGAGTTTGAAACACCGGATTTGCACATCACAGTGCTGTATTGAGGTGACTTGCATGCCGGACATGAGCGTGGGGTAGAGCACCGTTGGGGATTGTGACTTGGTCCGTCCCGGTTGTTGATTTTACTCCTTAATTGACTGAGACTTACTTGATGCTATCATGATTTGGGCTGATTGCCATGTGTTGGGCTTCGTGCCGATTATTTGAATCCTTCGGGGATTGGTATCACTGTTTTTGCATTACTTTGCATATCATTTGATCTCGGTCCAGGGTTTTGATACGATTTTGCAAACTCAGCCATTTTTTCAAGATTTGAAAACTTAAACAATATTTTTATTGACATTTTTGAGCTAAGAACCATTATTTTAATATTGCCCAAGTGGCTTATGTGCATTTCTGGACTGAGCAGGGATTGGGCTGCGCGCCACAGCAGTGACTTGAAGCAGTGGTAACAATGACACTGTATGATGTGACTTGAAACAGTGGTAACAAAGACACTGTATGATGTAAATTGGTCGGGTAACAATGACTGACCGATCAGGTAACAATGACTGACCAGGAATGTGATTGACGCCACGAGATGGCTTGATATTGCGCTTGGGCTGTAGGAGCCCCTCCGGAGTCTGTACACACCCCCAGTGAGCGCCGTCGACGTTAAATACATGGTTGGCTCGGACTGCACGCCGCAGTGGGTACCTGAGTGTACCGGTCATGTACACTGCATTGCATTCATGCATTGGTTCCTGTTTGTACTATGTGACATGACATTCAACACTCTCATATCATTGGCATCCATGCCATTTCTTGCATTGGTTACCAGATACCTTGGTGTTATTTGTTAATGGAGTGATGTGCCCGAGGGGCTGACTTATGTGCGGACTTGCACTATCTGATTACGCATTCATTTGCTTAACTGTTGGAAAAGGGTATTTTTAAAAGATGTTTTTAACTGGGTCCATATATTTTCTAAAGGATTTTCACGGAATTACTATTTTTCTCAAGGATTTGCTCTGTCCCATATAGCATGATGAAGTGTTTTACGTGATTTCTTACCGTTCAGATATTATTTACTCTTATTGCTCACTGAGTTGGAGTACTCACTTTACTCCCTGCACCTCGTGTGCAGTTGCAGGTATTGTTCACCCAGTAGCGGGTTATTAGCGGATTGAAGGTATTGCCATTATAGCTGAACAAGGTGACCGCCGGCGTTCGCGGCACCGGACTACGTCCTTTGATTCCCGAATTTTACTTTGTATATTATGTTGGTCCTTTAGTAGTGTGCAGTCTTCTTTAGATGCTCGTGACTTGTGACACCCCGGTCGGGTTTGGTTGGGTTGTAAATATCCGTTATTATATTGTTAGGTTATATTTTTCTATTCATTTATGTTTAATAATTGTTAAGGTAACGAATTGGAGTTAATTGGATGGCCTTGTCTTCACGAGAGGCGCCATCACGATCGGGTATGGAAATTGGGTCGTGACAGTATTGCATATTAAAATTGAGAGAGAATTCTTATTGATTTGGGATCAATTACAATGGGATAAAACCTCTCTACTTATAGGGGAAAAGTGACTTAGCCACAAGTAACAAACACTAGAAACTCTCTAAAAGATAGACATTCACCTTAAATACAATTCTATTTATAACGTTCCCCCTTGAATGTCTATTCAACAGATAATGTGCCTCGTTAAAACCTTAACTAAAATTAAAAATCAGTGGAAAAAAAATTCCAGTGAAAGAAAAAGAGTACACACGTTTTAGAAATACGTCTTTTAGATGCCTCGTTAAAAACCTTTGAAGG